CTTAGTTTAGTAAACCAGCATAAAATTTAACGTGATGAGTTTAAAACACGTTCCACACACACGCTCTTTACTTCTTTATTTCGTTTATTAATTTCAATTTTCTTTAACGCCGTTTATTGCAAACACCTCCACATGCTTTAAGTAATAAATTCTATAAATATCTTTTTCTATATCTAAAGCAAAATCTTGTGAATGCTTAAATTGCATTTGCCGACCGGCGACTGGGCAGCGGCGCAAACTTTGATATACAAATGTCAAGAGTTCAATTAATCGATGTGCGAGCCTTAATTTGGTTGCCGACGCTAAAACATTTGCTAATATTGAAAAAGTCGTAAACAAATTAATTCATGTATAATTAATTAATTGGATTCGATTTGTGTAATAAATTTCAATTTATATTATAAACATGCACAAGCAATTATTGCTTTTACAGGGAGATGAAATGGATTCACAACCATACTTTAAGTGTTTAAAGTTGTATTTATATGCAAGCTAGTCATAAACAATCGCAACAGTAATAAAAACTATAACTCAACAACGAGAACAATTGCAAAGGTTTCATTAATTTAATTATATTATAAAGACCACAATCCCACCCCACCCCTCCCCACTATCGTGTAATTTCTCCCAATATGTACATATTTTTATATATATTAATATATATATCCCCCTCCCTCTCTCATTTTGTGTTGTTATTCTTTTGTTCAATCATCACCTTCGGAGGATGATGGCACACAAGATTTGTCGCATTGTTCATATTAAACGAACAAAAATATATGGAATACTCATATTTTTCGTCAGCATAACATGACGAGCTTTTTGGATAAATAATACATAAGGTTGTTCGGAAAGTGATTTCGTTTTTTTCGCAACATAGGACTTAACCAACTTCACACTTAAACCGCATAATCATTATATATGTTGACATCTCATATTCCAAAATTTCTTGTGAAACAGTTCAATTGATTCTATGCAGTGGTGCCCTTTTAAAGTGCCTTGGAAAGTGAAACGCAGCATTTTCGGCATATTTTACTTTTCTTCTATTGAAAAGGTAAAAATGCTGTTCAAGCAAGAAAAAATTATCCGATCCGAGAAGATGCATTGACAACAGGCCAGTGATAGAACTGGTTTGCAAAATTTTAATCCGGTAAATGTGATCTTGAAGATGCAGGTCCTTTTGGATGACTACTTGAAGCTGACGAAGAAACAATTCAGGCATGAATTGGCACAAAGTCGATATCTCAAATAAGAATACCTCCTTCAGCTTCTTTAACAATTTCAGCAGTTAGTTTAAGTGTTGGGCTATAACGTACCAGTGATTGCAAACCAGACCTATCAGGCTATTTTTCAAGATTTAATTACTTAAGAACTTTTTGTGAAAATTGAGTTCATGTATTAAGTTACGAACCACTTCAAATTCAAAAATTAAAACGGATTTTCTATTAGTTTTTTTAGAAAGTAGACTTAGGTCATATGCATTATGAAAACTTCAAATCACAAAAATTCTCAATGGCACTTTATCTGCGATCTTATCAGCGATAAACTGCCGATAAATATCAATCAAAGTCAATTTCCTGTAACGAGAGTCCAAGGCGGACTTAGCTTAATGCATTCAAGTAATTTTCGTAAGTGAAATTACGCTGACATATTATCCTTAGCTTTACTATGGAGAAAGCGCCTTGAAGACTCGACGACCGTTAACAAACGCTAATTAAGCACTTTTCATACCCATCACCTATGTGATGGATGCATAAAATTCTTTCCAAACCGTAGATTTAGTTGCGATTTTGTAGACAAACACGCATTCGCTTTTTGTTGCGTTTATCATCATTATTAATGTTGTTATTATTATTTTTATTATAATTTTTCAATATATTGTAATTATAGCAGCATCGAGCAAATATGACAACAGCATTTGTTAAAAATAAAAAATGCAATGGAAAATGCAAACATTTAGGCCTCGTACAATGTGTACTCCACTCCTGAAAATGGCATAAAGTGCTTTTAGTTTTGTCGTTAAATAATAAATCACTCTTGATTTCTGATTACTTAGTAACAACGAATAGCAGATCAAGTAAGCAAACTTACACTGTAACGTACGTATTCAAAAAGAGAAAGTGTGACGCAGTTGTTGGAAATATTACTTTAGTCGGTTTGTCTAATCAATCAGTGATTGAACGTTTTATTTTCGCTAATCTTATCTACGATGGTGGCGTCTGGGGTCGGCCTTAGAAATTGGTCGAAAAGGCCAGTGATAGCAGTGTTAGTGGCTCATATGTTCGATCGATTTCACCGTCAGATCCCTAAACACGCCCACTCATGTCAACGGTTAACACAAAAAACGAAAAAAAAATAAAGTTGAGTTAGTGTTCAGTACGTCTACTCACTTCAGCGACCAGCACCCGCGGGAACAAACAGGCCGTTTTCATATACTTTGTCAACTATCTCAGCAGGTTGACGTCATGACCTATTTTATTTCATTCGCAAAGGAAGAGCAATTTACTTCTGTATTCATATTTTCTTACACTAGAAGACAATATAAATGAACTTTACCCCTGAGCAGTACTATATGGTACATCTTTCTCACTTTACACCCTTAATCGAAAATGGAAGGCTTCATAGTACGTACTTTAGAAATACGCCTCAAAAACGAACGGATGCATTACCTTACTGGTTAAATGTAGCAATGGTATTCACTTCACGACGCAAACTGCTTCATAATGTCTTACTACGCACCTTTTGCTTAAGAGATTTAGAGATGGTACTGACATCAGAGACAACAAAATTAAAGCCTAATCCCTAAAAAGTCTTTCAATTGTCTCTATTTATCCTGTCCTTTCCCTAGTTCTGTGTTCTCCTTTGAAAGTTTAATTTAACGCATAACAGGCAACGAACAATATAACATAGCGATAGAGTTCCGATTTGTTTAATATTCCACTCATTCTCGCCTATAAAAAACCCAGTAGTTCGATTGCTATGCGAATTGGTTAATCTAGTTTCATATACACTTTATCTGTACTCATTCTTGCTGCAGGTAATTTAACAACAATTTTTTGGCAATCTTCTATTCCCGATATATTTCACATAGCCAGCCCAACAAAAAATTCCCATTCTTATTGTGATATAAGTAATTTTTACGGGCCACATCTTAAGATGGAGAAAGATACTCAAAAAGAGCCCCATGTTAACCATCTTCAATTTGCATCGAAATGTTTTTTACATAAAAACAAGACAACATGTTCATTTCATTGCACTATTCCAGGTATATATATCGTCATGAATGTAGTAACGTACACATCGCAAAGTCGTGTCCGTTCCGGTTACAATAAGTTTCAACAAGTAAATAAAGTTTATGTATGTCGCTGTATTGTGTACGAATTCAAAAAAGCAACAATTACTACAGAAGGGTCTAGAAATTTATTGAAATCGTTTCGCCCAGGTACACTTTCTGATAAAACATCCAGAGGACCAGTGGAAAATTTCAAAAATCACACTTTGGGCGACGATCTTTGATCGACGTCGATACTATTGACATCATGTTAGAGCAATATCGTGTTTTTTTGACAATATCGGAGCTTGTGAAAGGCGTGATTCAGCTCAAAAGACCACTTCGAATCATATTGAGAACTCCCCGGTAGACCAAATATAATACATATATATCGCTTCTTTGGTTCACCTTAACGACTTTCAAGTTATCTAAAGAAAGCGGAAAACCTTACTTTTCCTTTTTCTCATCGTTCTTATGACTTCAATCGTAACAACAGTCTACTGCATTTTACTGCATTATTCCATAGATCAATATGACGAATATCATATGGTCTATATGTGAGTTTTCCAAAATCAGCGCGTTCCGTTCAGAATTGATTCCTTGACTGCTTGGGCTTCAACATAGAGATAATTAGCTTAAAACTTTGCTTTGTCTGATAATCTTTCTCCAGTTGAGGGCAATTTTAAAATCTTATCACATTTCTTATTTTCAGAGTAAAAGACAATTTTTACTTTATCAAAATTCTACCTGTATATTGCTAAACTAAATATTTATACTTGTTCTTTTTTTTTCATATATTGATGTATAATTAATATTTTCAGTACTTAATTAAACATTGATTTTTTATATTAACAAAACTCTTCGTAGTTAAACAAGGTACCAGATGGTTCTGGGAAGTTATCAATAAAATTTCTGGGATTTAAAATTTAACTTAAGCAGCGATGCTTCTTCTGTTGGCACGATGTGTTAGACTGTATGTTATTTACTTGAATCTTTCGCCCAAATTTTTTTGAATATTTACGTACGTCAGTGGATTCCTTTAAAAATACCGGAAAAAAACTTCCTCTGAAAATTCTAAGATTAAAAGTGATGGGGCTCGAAGAAAAGCTCTGGAGGCACACAATAATATTGAAGAAATTTTTATTAAGAGGTGTGCAATGCTTGAAAATTCGAAAACTTTCGAACAAGAGTAAACGACAATTTGTAAACCAACAGACCTTGTAGCCACTTTTAATTAAATGTCTACATAATTATAAGCGGTCGATTTACTCTTCTCCACTTAATATTAAGTATCATTATGTAAACTGTCCTTACATAACATCATTTGTGTGTTATTAAAACGATGTAATTTTCGTTTAAAAATTATTGCATATGTTTTTGAAATGCACATTTGAGTCCATATGATTTGGACCATAATTCAGTGGAAATTATTTTGCTTTAATAGCAGATACATCTAAACTAAATGTAGTTCAAGGTAATCCAGATAATCGTATGGGCATTTAATATACTTTTATAGTGTGAACCGCAGAAGTGTTACGCTCTGCTATAAATTCTCCAATTAAAAGCATTTGCTAACTAATGATACTTTAAAGTGTCCTCGATTTTGTTGGTTTTTTTTTTTTTGTGTATAAAGCAGTGTACATTGCAATTACACTAGTTTTGGCTGATTTAAAGCACTACATATAACAATATTTCACTTAAGTTACGCAAAATCTAATCAGTAATAACTTACCTTCGTATAATGGGCAACGGTAAAGAGAAACGTCCGTCATTAACAATTGCCGTTGCACCCGGCATAGGAACCGTTGATATCACTGACGTAAGGATAGTTGTACCAGCTGCCGAAGAAGGTGGAGTTGGCGACGCCGATCCTAATATAGTTGCACCGTGCAGTGGCGGTGACGGTAATGGTGGGGGTGCTGCTAAAGCCATTGTTGTGCCATTCGACATTTGACTGCCGCCGCAAGGTAAAGCACTATATGGCGGAGGAAAATGATTATGCAATATATCCGGCAACGTGGGTCGTAGCATAGTGGCTGGGGATGGCGGAGGGGGCGGTGAGGGTGTTGACTGATGGGATAACGAGGCTAAATGAGTACCAGTCATGGCGGCATGCATATGGGCCGGGTGTAACAAAGCAGTCAAATGAGAAGCAGGCATTGAATGGCGTTCTAATAAACGATGATGATTATGCTGTGGATGATGATGGTGAGGATACGTTGGTGTATGCCTGAAATGGCCACGTGCAAGGGCCGTTGGAATTTGCCCCAGTAATGAATTATTGTGCGCTAAATAGCGACGTTCGCGTCTTTCGCGACGTCTTTGGTCACGATGTTGGGAATGTGGGGGAATCGTTGAAGCATTAGCAGCAGCATATGTTGCGGTTGAACGTAACTTTACCGTGGGTATATCATCCGTTTGGCATTCAGTTGAGGTAAAAGTGCGTTTAGGAATTATTGCTGTTGTTGTTGTTGCTGGTGCAGCAATTGTTACATTCGTTGAAGCTGCTGTGGAAACTGTTGCTATAGTTGCGGTTGCATTCACTTGTATTATATTCACTTTGATATTATTAATGCTATTACTGCTTTTATGGTTGTTGTAGTTGCCGCTGCTGCTGATAAAACATTCATCATTTGCAAATCGATTTTCATTTTTCACAGCATTCATTGCTTCATAGCTTTTATTGTATAAATTAGGCACTAAACTGAAACTAATACTATTGTCGTTATTGTTGCTACTATTGTTTTTGTTGTTATTGCTGTCGTTACTATTACCGCTATGATAGTAACTAGTAATGGAATTTTGATTATTTTCGGAACTATTTGTTAGATGTTTTGCAGTTGTTCTTGTTGATGCTTTTGAATTGTGGCCATTTATTACGTGAGTAGTTGTATTTTGTTGTTGTTGCTGCTGCTGTTGTTGTATATATTTAAACGCATCTATCGATAAACTTGTTATGCTTTGGTTATTATGATTATTAATATTATTGTTACTATTATCATTATTATTATTATTACTGCTAATATGCTTGTTGTTATTTTCATTATTGCTACCAATGTTACCGTAATTACAATTCACTACACTAACGCCATTTGTTGTTGTGGTTGTTGTTGTTGTTGTTATTATATTTACATTAGACTGATGCACTAAAGCTTTTTTATCGCTTTGATTTTGATTTTGCAATAATTTAATATTTGCGTCACTACCACTATCGTTAAATCGATTTTTTTTATTATCATTGTTTGCTGTATTTTTATCATTATTTTGATTTACTTGTATCGTTAAACTAGGAGAATGCTGGCATTCATTTGTCGTTAAAGCAGTCACACTATTCGTTGTGGTTAAAATGACACTATTCGAGCTATTATGTGGTTTCACCGTTAAATTGACGCCGTTACGATTAAATGCCTCCGTCGAGGCGGGTACATTTAAACGCATATTTGCGCAATCCGTATCAAAAAGTTTCAAATCACTATTAGTATCGTAAGCTTTAGCTTTAAGCTGTTGCTCGATTATTTTCTCGCTAGCCCGAAATTCCGCGTACAAACGTTCCAATTCGGCTAAACATTTATTATCCGGTGTCAAATTTATTGAATTATTCGTAAGCACGTTAACTAATCCGCCGGTCGTTTTTAGTGTATCGTATGTATTCCGCGTATAACCCACTGCTAATGTTTCACCATCGAATGAACGCGTCGAACTAATCGCATAATCATATACGAGGTCTGTGTAAAGTTGATCATTTTTATGTTCATTTTCTTGTTTCTCTTCTTTGTGTTTGCTGTCTCTCGCACAAGTTAATGCATGCATTTTTCTTTTCTCTATTGGTGTTCGTAGTTGAGTGACCTGTTCTTGTAACTCTCCAGTGTGGTTGTTGATTTCATTTTCTTGGTTTTGTTGTGATCCGACATTCGTATCCATATGATGACTCATCGATATTCTTTTAACGTTAGTTAAACTTTGCATTGTGAAAATTTCACAATGACTTTTTTGTGTGTTGTTACAACTGTTGTAGCTGTTGATTTGATCGCTGACTGCATTGCGAAGATTTATATGTTGCTTATCAACATTTGTGGCCGGCACACGTGATTCAGCTGCACAACGCTGTGTATAAAATAAGATATACAAGTTATATTTAGTTATATAGAAAAAAAAACAAGTTTAAAAAATTTTAAAGTTTCCAACGTTACAAGAAAGTACATCAGGGCAAAAATCGATATTAATTACGTAAAATTTAAGCGTTGCACTTTAGAAAACTGTTTGAAACGTACATTAGAAAAGAAATAGAAACGTTATAATGAGCCTGCTATCGAATAAAATTTCGATTAATACATTTAAAGGAAGACAGTAGCTTGATGCGAGCCATTTGCAGTAACGTTCTACCCTGACGAAAAACACGCCGGTGCTCATCAAAATTATGTATTATGTAAGTAGGACACACCAATAGATGGGCATATATCAGACGGACGAGCAGGCAAGCTTAACTGAATCGATCTATACAATAAAAGCTGGCTCTTTCTCCAGTCCTCCTGCGTGTTTTATACACCTGCACAAACGCAATATGCCTATATACCATAGAATATAAGTATCAAAAACAAAATGAATTAGGTTGAACAAAAGAGTACGTATAGGCCGCTTGGGTCGATTCAAAAAGTGAAATTCCAATCCATTCAGGGTCGGAAAGTGACCCTGAAGTGGTAGAGTGAAAGATGGATCTGTCTAAAGTTCTTCTCGGGTCTGTAAACATCCGCGCAAAGTTAATATAATCTTGATCACAAGTAGCTTTCTTTCGATGATTCCTGCTGTTCTCACTATTTAAAATTTAGAACTCTTTGCGAGTCTTGTGAATATAGCACTTTCTTCTTAAGAGATTGAATTTTGTCCAGGTAGTCGGTATGGATTTTACCTTTCAAATAATCGCGAAGATAAAGGCCCACCGGTGCCAGATCAAATGAAAATGAGCATCGCTCTAAAAATTAAAAAAACTTAAACGTTGACAACTTTAATGTAATCAGCTGATGCCTGTATGGTTTTAAACAGACTTCAATGCCCTTAATTGTCTAGTTATTTCCTACAAAGCCTTAAATCCGACAGGAAGTGTTTACTCCTTCGGAAGTATGCTTGGTAATGGACGCCTTAGTTTCTTCCTAAACATTTTGGCTTACAATGGTTAAGTCTGCTTTTGTATCAACTGGGGGAGAATGTGGCTAGATTTCCTGCACGCATTAGTAATATTCACCACGTTACACAATTTTTCAATTCCTTATTTAGCCTAAAAGGTATATTAATTAAGCTGATAGCAATTCTTTTGAAACATAGTTTTTGCTGGAGAACTTTATTTGTGTTAAATTATTGAGACTTGTTATTGACGGTATTGTTGAGAATGATACAGATTAATTTAAAAAAATAAATACATTGCAATAATATTGTCAATTAGAAATAATACACAATTTTTATATTTAAAATTAACGATGTTTTTTCCTTCCCGACACTACTGCACTGTCAAATGTAATCAACTTCTAGGATCTATGAATTCTTCTAAGTCAATTTTGGACAAATTTTCAACTAGAAAAACTTGCCTTAAGTTCAATGCCTCCAATGAAGTGAAGTAGTTGGATCTACTAGAAAACTAGAGGACTAAATAAAGAACTATAGGACTAAATAAAGAAATTTATAGAAAGCAAAGTCAAAGCAATTAATGGTGTTAGGTCATCAGAACTTAGGCTTGAGAGAGTATTTCGGGAATCCGTTATTTGAGGTTTGGGTCGTAAAACGCTTTGCATGTTAAGAACGTGCTTTTTCTTTAAGGGCGGTAACGAATATGACAACAAACCTAAAAAAATTGCTTTCGATTCAATTTAATTTTAATTTTCGTACATTGGCTCAACAACCTGAGCCTATCAGTGCAACGATTAAGTAAGGCAAGCCGGCTTCATAAAAAAAACCCCAAAGTCTTTCAAAAATTAAATTAGGATTGATTTTTGTACCCATCAACGAAATATTGCGATCATTTTTTGAATCGATCTGAGCTTGCCTGTCTGTCTGTCTGTTAATCAGCATGTCTGATGCCTGTCCATCTAGTGTCATTTGGTTTAACTTATAGACCGCAATTTTTGAGATATTTTGATGAAATTCGGTACGCCAACGCGTTGTGCCACAAGTAGGAAACGTATTAAAATTAACTCGGTTAGGACCATTTTTTCCACCACTTCCCATGCAAAGCCTTATTTAGTTTATTATATGATGTAGCTGTGAATGATGAATAACTGTGTTTTGCGAAGTTGTACGAGGTATTTAATGGCCGACTGTGCCGTACTACAATGTTCTAAAGTGCTTTTGATTACCACAATGGCGTTTAGGAACTGTTGCGAAACTGTAAAACCGTTCCAAACTTAGCCAAAAACACTATTATTCATCTGATCGCAGCTTCATGTTATTCGCGTAGCTTAATCAACAAGAACAATCCCGTTTGAATTTTCTTTCAAGTATTTTTGCTAAAATTCAAGTAACCGTTGCTTAGAAAGTGATTTGAATTGTTTGATATCAAAAAACAATGTTTGGAGAAATGCTCAAGGAAGTCCCCGAAAATTCTCCAAGAAGTGATTGATTTAAGCATAGATTTGATTTATTCATTATTATCACTAATTAAACTGAGCTGACCTCATGTAAGGTGTTTGGACACTATATTGATGTGAAACCCCTGTAAAGAGAATTTCAATAACAAATTTACGCGTTTGCATAGCTGTATTTCTTTGATATCACATTGATGTGAGAAGAAATTGAACGGCTTGTCGAGGAAACCCCAAAAAAATATTTTTAATGATTATTTTAAGCATTTGCTTAAATTCAATGTTCTACTGAAGCACGCTTTATTATGCCTTACACCACTTGTGGTACAAAGGTATGCTGAAAGCGCGAATGTGTGCAAAACCCAGGAGAGCTTAATACTAAGATAGATCCACGGTTTGGTAATCTGATCGATTCGTCCTCATTTCCCGGATCAATCTAAGCTTGTCCCTTCGTCTCTTTATCCTATTTTCTTGCGTTTGGTTTGTTGGTTGCAAAGATATATTTTGCTGATATTTGATACATTCCGACAAGCTTTGACGACTTGAAAAACGACTCGGATTGGACTCTTTCGATCACCGCCAATAAAATGCCTAATGTTGAAAAATTGTTGTATGACTAACTACGTTTACGGAACTGGTCGAGGGTATTATATGTTGGACCGTTTTTACTTTTTTATAAAATTAGATAAATAAACTTCGAGAGTAATAGAAATATCCTATTTTAGATATTAATATTCCCGGTACTTTTGTGGCAAAATGTGTACAATGTTAACAAAAATATCATGTGTATGTGGCCGCTATTTTTAGAGTGAATTGATAACATTTCGGAGACAGTGATCTTATGAATAGAAGAGACAGTTGAGAGAAGAAACCAATAGAAGCGCATTGCAAGGGCCAGTGTAACCTGCTTTGCAGAAAAAGGATGATAAGAAAAAAAAAAAGAAAAAATGAATGATGAAAATATATAATTTTGATTTTCCAACATTCCCGGTACTTTTTTGAAAGGCCGTGAAAGGTAACAAAATCCGTAGCCGTCTCTAACGTTAAAGTTCCAGCCAAATTACTATACGTGAAAGAATTATCAAAAATTATAATAATATCTGTTCTTATATGCTTCCCACCAAAGCAGGATTAATTTTCCAAGTTGTAAAAACAAAATAATTTTCTTTTTAAAAAATTGTTTGTTACATAAAAACGAAAGTATAAGCTAAAGCTCAGAGCGTTTCGCGAAAGGAAACAATTCTTGACTTTTTTTTTTGCAAAACACCACAATTACAATTTTCCGCTTTTTAAGTTAGACAACAACACATATGCGCATATTGTTTCGCTTGTGTAAGAAGACATACACTTTTTTAGACTTATAAACAAATACTAATAAGTCAATTTTGTGGTGAGGGTAGAAAATAAATTAGTTTATGTGTATTCTCATGTAGCGCGTCCCCGAAACCAATTTATATGTTAGACCAACCGTAAATTTAATATTTTATTTAACACAAAAAAAAAAAAAAAATATGTTACAAAAAACTAGAAAAATTGTTTATGAAGTTATATGCGAATAGAAAAATAATTGACCGTTTAGGTTGACTGCATATTAAAAACTTCTCTCAAATATATAGAGCTGACTAGTAAAGACAGCTTTACTTGGCTCCCATATAAAATAAAATAAATAAATGAAATGAGTATATGAGGTTTGAAAATATTTTAGCCTTTGTATAGATACCCTCTACACTACTTGTGGTATAAACATATAGTAATTAAGTTTGTTCGAACATATGCAACACCGAGAAGATGAGATAGACTATTGCTTTAAGCGTGTCTGACCGTCTGTCCGTTTGGTTTCTTTGTATTCACTTATCTACCCACCTACAAGAACCAACAGAAAATTTAATACACTTTCGTATCGTGACTCAAAGCTATTGAAGCTGCTTGGGATCGTACCACTCTCTCGACCTTTTGTCGTATAACGACTTATTTTAAAAAATCACTACATTCATAACTATAACACACTCTAGGACATTTAACGGTGGGCCGTCACTGTTTTTGTTTGATATAAATATAAACAATTAATAATTTATGAACCTGCGAACTCGTTACAGTTCGTCAAATGATCAAAAACCAATTATACTCATCTGTTGTTCTCATATTTAAAGATATTAGACCATTTGTAAGGTATTTTATACACAGTAGCTTTATATATATGCACGTATGTATTTATTATTCACGTTGTATGATGGATTTGTTTAAACGCAGACATGGTATGTAATCAACACACATGATGCAAATTTAAATAGTGCGAACAATACTCTATTTTTTACTGACGCGTCACTAGCTTATAACAGGTCTATAAATAAAAGCTGCTATTAAATAAGTTTTAAATAAGAGTTGTTACATCTTATTTGCAATTATTTATTACGTTCCACAAAGCATTGGAGTATTTAAAATTGTTACTTGATTATTAGTACAATTATTTAACGATTGTAGTTTAGTGCACAAAATGTCCTTTTGTGTTATATGGAAGAAGTTAAAAATCAAATTTCTTTGTTTAACCTAAAATTCCATTTATCCATACCTATACGATTGTCAAGCTGTCTTTTAAGATATCCGCTCTAATTAGAATTTCAATTGGCCTAAAAAATGGACTTAAGGGTCTACGACAACAATGCAAGCCATCTATTGCCAAATACTCTTACAATGAAAAAAGTGCACCGAAAGTTGCTCAAATATCAACTTCAATAACATGTTTGGAGCGAACAAACAGAGATACAAGATCAATGCGTAGCCCTTAAGTTTTTGGATATTATTTACCCAGAATTGTTGTATACTAGGAGCCGTAGTATCCCTCTTAATATATCTTTTTTTTTAAGGTTTCAATTTCTTAAGCCTACTATCAAATTACACAGCTGAGGACATTCCAAAAACGTTTGCATTGGTCAAGAGAAATAAGAGACGTCCCAAATAAAAAACCTTACATACACGTGGGCTTCCTTCCTTCAAGTTTTATTCGAATGTGAGTAGGCAGGCGAGCCTCTTAAAATTCTACCGGGATTCTGAAACAGCTTTCTGACAATATTTCAGAACTTTCGATTATTTTTCAGTATTTTTTTTTTTACCGTTTCTGGCAACATTTTAATTAATTCAATTTTAATTTTAGATAAGATTTGTCTTATTCAAAATTCATTACATGAAATAAATTTTTTCCGTGAAATTTCGAAACGCTTCTTGAAAAGCACGTATGTCAAAAAAAAATCTCTTTTGAGCGGTCGTGAACTAATATTTTGCTTGCCGATTTTTAACTCCTCTTTCTTCAATACATGACTCAAACGGAATCAGTGCTTATGCCAAGAACTAAACATCCTTTCGCCAAAACATATTAGTGACTACTCTCATGAATATATCGCGAGAATGGGGACATTCCGGCTGAACATAAACGACATTAGAAAAAGGACGGACTTGCACGAAGTTAGTATACTGTTACAAATTTCGCTTTTCTAAGATGGGGTCGTAGATATCATTTTCAAGAGAAATACACTTCAAAAGTTCTTTTATTAACAATTATGTTCCTTTAGAATAGGATTATTGAGAATTTATTTTTAGCAATACTTTCGAAAATATTCTCAAATATTCTTTTTCTAGTAACTCTGCCTTCCACAAATAACTTATTTATATACATTTTTGCAAGCATATTACTATACCTAAATTCATGGTTTCATTTGTAATCCCTGTCTGCTTCTCCGCTAATCGTTTTCATCGGCCGGCAGCTGAATGATGCGTCGTGAATGTGGATTTGGTTTTTCCCTCTTTAGAGAATTTATTATTTAGGAAAATTAATTAGCTGGAATGAACTGGATTTGGAATTTTCGTAACAATACTCTGCACGACAACTGATATTACATGCTGAAGCCCTTCTTAAAATAAGTGCAGTTATCGGCTAGCATTGTAGATAAGAAGAGCGTCTTCAAGTTTCATGAAAATCCTTATATGCGGTGATATCCAAAATCGGTAAGGTAGATTTCTTTAGCAATTTACTATTATGAACCAATTTTCATCATGAAAGATTGAAAATTAAATGTTTCTACCACACAAAGTTTAATTTTCGTGTGGACCGTTATATAAGAGGAGGTTCAGAAAAATGACCCTGCCGAACCAAACTTTTCTTACCAATTTCGAATGCCGAATTACTATTGCTTAACCGGTTTTTTCCAGAAATTTTAAAACTTTTCAAAGTAAGGCGTTACATTGAGAGTGGTTGGAAAAGTCCACTGTACCATTTGGAACAGCATTCATCCTTGAGTCAAAGCAGTGCACCCAATTTCATCAACATTTCTCAAAAATTGCGGTCTGACAGACAGGCATGCTTATCGGTTTATTTTGGGGCCATCTGGGTGTAACATACGTCTGAACAAATATACCACATTGTGTAGGGTGGAAACAGTTAAAAACGTTTCCACGAAAATTTCTATGAACATTATATTTTATGAGAACAAGTAAAAACATTATAGTTTGCTAAGGCCCAACATCAAATCGCCTATACCACTTAAGGCAGATAAGCTTAGATCGATCCAACAAAAGGTCGATCTATCTCTTGTCCTTTTTGGTATCCCTTGGCTACTACATTCGGATTCAAAACACCCTCGTACTACAATTAGTCTAACGTAATGTAAGTAAATTGTAGAATTTCAATTTAGACGCAAAGAAATTAAATAATTCGCCAACATAATCAGATGAAATATTTGACGGATAAAGCAAAACATTATTTAAATGTACGTAGTTAGATATTGACATTCACTTGACCCGAAATACTGGCTATCACTTAGGTCAGGAAAATAGATTTAAATGAAATTCTAAATGTACAAGTCATTGGATATCATAAAAACACATTAACATACTCTACTGTCACATGAATAAATGGAGATAAGAATTAACTTATTATATTACCTACCCCATATATACAAATGTACGCATCGATGTATGTAATACATATAAACGTATAAAATATATATAAATGGATGTCTGTGTGCGTTATGTAGGCTTTATAAATAACTCATTTATTATATAAATTTATTTACAAATTTTAGAACAAAGAGAATTTAAATGCATATAAATATTTAATTATATGTAAGCAATGTACAATTACAGTAACTAACTGTCTGATTAGTATATTAGTATATGATATACAACACAATATATAATGCATGCATAAGCCTTCTGTATGGAAGCATAAGCAAGGGTTGTGATAATCATTGTTACGAGAATTTCAGTAAAAGTCAGAGAGTAAGATAAGTAGAGAGTAAGGATATGAAGTGCTTCTTACCTCAACTATAAAATCGTCAGTAAATGAACGCACCAAATGCCTTTCAGTATTGTAATAAGCATTTGTAGATATATTTGCCCTACGCTGTTGTTCCTGCTGTTGCTGTTGTTCGTCTTGTTGTTGTATTATCATCATCTCCGCTGTTGTCTCCGTTAAATCTGTTAAAGGACGAGTCTGAGTAATTGAGGTAACGTTTGCTTTTAACGTATTCAACATTGGTTTAAAAAGATGCAAATGCTGATGGTTATTATGATACGATGACTTTGTTGTTGCATACAACGATTCATAAGATGGCGGTCGTTTAACAATACCATTTGATGATAAAGTTAATGACGATATTGGTGCCATTATTGACGACGACTCCGTAATAGTTGCTGCCGATCTACTGCTGCTCCTACCATTGGTAGCAGTATTAGCCGGGGGTGACCACCACTTTGTCAGCGATGATATCGCTGCATAGCGTGAATGTAAAGGCTTATTTGACTGTCTAGTAGCAACAGGAGTAGCATTCTCTGTGCGGGTATACGAAATGTTGTCGTTACCTGTACTTGACGCTTTATGATAATATGGGTGTTCGCAATAATGTGCAGCACCACTCATCTTTAATGTACTATCGTCATTACAATAATTAGTAACGGCTGGCGTGCGCGTATTTAGCACAACGGAGGAGTATGGTAAAGGCACTAAAGGTGTTGCAACATTTGCTAATGGTTCGTAGAATGATTTACCAGCAGCCGTAAAATAACATGTAGTTGCTGCGGCCGACGTCAAATCAGACAACTCATGAGGATTGGCAGTAGTTGACGTAGCCATTGATGTGGGTATAAAAGTCACATATTCAGTATCTAATGCCGCAAAACTACGATTTGCTGTATAGTCTGAGCAAAAACTAACGTAAGATGATTTTAAATTCCTTTGAATACGCTCATCTTCATCATCTGAAGAGGTGTCAGTCGAACTGCGTTCATATGGCGTCCAAAGCATTGAGGAAAGAGCTTCTTCAACGTCAGGTGGCCGTCGCTGATGATGTACTGATCTCTCGCCCGCCATTTTGTAGATAAAATTGAAATGTTTGCTTAGAAAATTCAAACATTTCAAAAAGGTTTTCATTAAATGCCTACGAATCTATATAAGCCACAGCTGCCATATTTTCTTCTCTTCAATTATATTATTTAAATAACTGAAAATAGAAAAACAAAAGAAATACGTGGAATAACTTTACAATTTTTTTCTTTTTTTTTTTTGTAAGAAATTTAAAAATTTTTTTTTAAAACTATGACGATGAAAGCAAGCGCCAAAGCTTGCTTTTTTATTCTATTCTTCTGTCAAAAAATAAAATAAATAAAAAAATAATTTTTATTTTTTTTATTTTTATTACATTTCTAAAGCAGAAAGCATGCAGATGTTTTTCAAAAAAAAAAAAAAAATGTGTGGAAAATAGAATCAAGACAGAATGATGTGTTATCGCTGAAGGCCTAACAAATCATTTCATTTTACGTGTTTGTGATAACAATGAAAAGACAACTGAGTAAAATGGCAAGGAGTATATTCGAGACAGAATTAGGACTTCTCTGGAAATAACATAAAAGTCGTGCATGTTGTGTTTGTCTATATAATGCATACTCTTTGGAGAGGAAACCAATTTAAGTTTAGACGAAAAGATATTTAAAAAAAATGCGTCTAAAAAAAACTAAACCGTGCATTTAAAAAAAAACATTTAAATTTTGAAATAATTTTAATTTAGAGTCGTCTGGAAAGAAATACGGCGGGATTGTAAAGTAAATTTGTTTTGGAAGAACGTTCGGTCGCGTTTGAAGGGTAGATAATAACTGTTTTTTTTTGAAAGAACATATGTGAACGTATATTTTTATTGATTCAATTCAATTGCTCTTAAAATAGAGTCTATTTATTAATTCGTCACTTTATTCGCAAAATCTATTTAGAAATGTTTAGCAACGTTTTCTTGAGAGCTTGACTCTGATCACAAGAATCACAATATATGTGTTCTCTTTTTCGGTGTTAGTTTTGTTGCGTTAGAAAGAGAAAACGAGTACACAGTTGTGGACTCTACTGTACTTACTGATTAAATATTGTTTAGATGATTGGTTTACCAAAAAAATTCTTATTTGGATTACAGTAAATGTTGATTAAATACTTTTAAATTTTATGCGTTAAAAGTGGTATTGGTAAAAAGAAAGCTACTAATCATCAAGGAATGTCTTTCCTACTAATCCCGCAATAGAATGATGCCAAGACTCCTAAAGCTTATTGCGTTCGCTCGCGGTTGCTGTAATCAATCGTTCACGATATTACAAAATGGAGGCTAGATATAGTTTCTTCTGCCATTCCTACATGCAATAATCTTTTTCTATCTCTCCATGTAAGTCAATACCAAAGCACAGCACATTTTTAGGCAAAAGCTTGACTTGAACTAACATTGCTTTAAACTTAGGTCAAAGTATTGGAAGAAGAAGAAGATGAGAGCTAAACTGTACATTCAATACAATATTTTCTCGCATTTTACTTCTAAACAAATGTTACTTACCGAGAACCGCTAAAGTTGAAAACATATTTTTGCATATAAGCAATTAACGCAACTCGAATATTCTCTGCGTTAACGCAATTTCAACTATGCACCATGCACAGAAGGTTTGTACCCTTTAATTCAAGTGATTGACAAAAAAGGATGCATAACGAATATCACTTTCGAGCCACAAGCCATCTTAAACAGCACAGTTGAATAAATTTTATGATCCGCAATAATTAAAATTTTGATACAAGCTCTTCTTATTTGCACATTAAGACAAAGGGCTCCAATTTCATGTTTTGTTTTCAACTGTACGGACATAACGTACAGCAAAGGGACGCGATTCTCTATCTATACTATAAGTTGGCTATCAACAACATGTAAAAACTGAAATAAAACAACAATGCACGCCGGAAATCTGTTCGCTGGCTTTTATGACCTTTATCACCTGGAGTTTGTGTGGACTTATGCAACATTCAAAACGACTTGAGGTAGCGACTTCTATTATAACGACCAATTTAGAATCTCTTTCGGAATTACATCTAAGTTTGTCCGTCCGTCTTGTCTTCAATCTGCAGGACGCAACTGTACGTCTTGATGACTCGCTGAGGTGTTTTGTCCCAAGCACGAACGCTATTGAAAATATTTCGTTTTTTACCACTTTTTCGACTTTTTTTCCAATTAACACCTTATTGGAACATTGTTATATATATAAATGTAGGATGATGTGGAATATTTAATGGTGAACTGTGGCCCACTATAGTCTTCTCATTTGTTGTGTTTACATTTGGAGTTGCTAACGAGTTCTTTACAATGAGGTGTGTAGCCGAGAGTCAAAGAGTCGAGACTGCTAAGTCGATAACCGCGAGTTTGAATCTGAGTGCGTTAGACCACTGTACTGTAAGTAGTTATATAGTTTTATATGTATACTTCAACTCTATGTTTTCTTCTGATTAACACCTTTTACTACACTGTCATAGTCTGACCTTTAAACTTAGGTACGTTCGTTAGTATTTTAAGCTTAAAAGTGTTGTAAAAACTGTGCGCGTTTAGTGAATGTTCTTTTCTATAAAGTCGTAATTGAAGCCTTTTATGTTAATAGTGTTGCTTAATTTGGTTGAATCTTTATTATACCCAGAAATGAGCATATAAATAGATTACTTACTTCAACAGTTGCGAGAAAATAAGAAAGTTGTATTCGCCTTAAGATATGGTGTCGAATAGAGCTTAGGTACTACTTTTACATCTAACCATCTAAGTAATTTGCTCAGTAGTACACATGCCACAGTGATAGCATCAAATCGCTCAAAATTTCTAAAAAAAGAAAACGGACGAAAGTCGCAAGACGTACGCGCATAATAGGAGTTTAAGTTGTTTTTACGTATTGTTATCTTTTTCAATGTCTATTATTAGTTAAGTGTAGTTTAAGCTATTTTTAACTTTTCTTATATACTTTATTACTTAAGTATTATGTACATTATGCTTGCAATCACGACCGGAATGAAGTCAGTTGATATCTACATAAGTGAATTACCCGTAGGGTCGTCGGTAAGGGCTAGTTCCTCTAGTTGACCGTTGGAACAGTTTGACGACGATAGGCGAAACGCCGATTCGTAGTGCTTAGAAATTTAAAACTCTAATTTCTGTGAAACCGTCCGCTTAGTTATAGTTAATTGAATGATTATATGGTTAAGATTAGTGGAAAATAGAAGGGGAACTAGAATATGACCTAGACATTAAACCAAAACAAGTCGAGTTATAACGTTTAATCGCGCGATATGATTCTCATTAATGCGGGGGAATATGAAGATCGAAGGTAAGAGCGCATGGAATAGCGGCTTTAGCACACCTTGACAATAGATACAAACAATATTTCCGAATAGGAAGAACAATCTTCTATCTTTAATACCCAGCGAAGAGAACTTTTCGTGGAGAAGCCATCGAAAGCATCGCAAGTGATCCGCTTGTAAGTCTCTATACTAAGCATTCAACCAAGGCTTACAACAAATCTATGTATATTGAGGGTATCATAGAGTAGTAATACGACTGGATGCTTCGGATTGCTAGATAGCAATCCGGAATGTGAGGATAATCCGAAGGCAAAAATGGCTTTGCTGCATATCCACAATTTTTATAGTTAGAAATGTGGGCGCAAAAGATATCAGAATGACCAACTCGATCGATCACTTGCACAAAGAAATGCCGCATGCAATGCGTGTCGAACGTACAAGTGGGAGCAGCTTAACTGCTGGATTCGGCCCTACGAGAAGAGTCGAGGAGAATTTGACTCATATATGCAGGCCCTCTTAGTGATGTAGGACTATCTTAGACGCTGATTGAGCCCAAGCTATCATGTGCGTATAGCTTTACCCACCCAAGTGTGTCGTCTAATTAAGCCTTAACTATAGCTGTAGGAATTCTCAACGAATGCGGATTATAGTTTGTGGTCTTTAGTTTTCTGTTTCTGTTTCCGTTTTTTGTTTTTTTAGTCTTAGTCTACTATGAACGTGATTGTGGACGAACCGCACTTATTTTTAAATTTCATCTGTGGCCACTAACTAAAAGGATGCACGTGAATTTCCAACCTCATTTTGACGTTTTCATCTATGAGCAACGACGAAAGATTACATGAAAATTCTCATCTTCACTTTAGAGCCTTATAGATTCGAAAAGTATTTTTATGCTTTATGAGATGTCCTATGACATATTTTCTACTTTTTTAAGGAAAGTACAAAAATGATTGAAATATAATCGAAATTGAAGCGGAAAAAGGCGAATCCATTACTTATCGTTATTAAAAGGTGATAAAGTGATAAGTTTCCTGGAGACAGGTGATCGCAATATAACGCAATGTAAGCATCCTCTCATTTTAGAAAATGTTCGCAAAAATTCAATCATCCGCAAATTGAAATTATGACGAAGGAAGAGAGAAGACAACTACATAAAAAATAATGCCTAAAAACATTAATTTGCTCTCAATTAAAATTCAGCTGACGCAGATAAATTTGTTTTTGTTCTTTTAATGCTATTTACAATATAACAAGCTGTTGATATCTGCCCAGCAAACACAGTAATAGTAGTGGTAGCAGTAGAAGCAGTCGCCCACATTAATTGAAAGAGTTTTCCTTACTTCCCTGCTCATAGTAGTAAAGAAGCTAATAATGCTAAGAAATTTATCCTCGACCTTTTACAAACTTCGGATTAACTATGAAAAAGTTTCCTTTTAATTGCCAACTAACGCTTGCAATGGATAGCTTATAAAAACTGTAAGCCAAATAACTTTGCAAATGTTTTATTTTTTCTTATTTTTTTTTTTTAATTGAATAAAAAGAGGAGAAAATTCAATCGAAAAAAATCAAAAATTAAGCACTTTTATGCAAGGCGTAATGTTAGTTTTGTGTTATTTTATAACAACGTTCAAAAAGAAAAGCAGAAAGAATGTGGCCAGTATGTGCTTAACGTAAGAAAATAACTAAAACTATAATTGAAAAAATAAGTAAATACCATACACGGAAGTTAACATTAATTAATGGGAAAGCGTAAGAACTCATTTACATACATGTGCGGGCATAACGTTTTTATTAGCAAACACGCAAATATACGCAAAAACGCATAAAAAAACAGAATGTAATAAAACGCGTGTTTTTTCTCAGCGATTGAGATAATTATCACCGGCGTTGGCAATTAGTTAGTTAACAAGAGAATGGAACGTAGTGCGGAATAGTATTGCTTAAGCCGTTCATAGGGAAAATTTCACTTCACTTAATAAAAATGCGAATGGAAAAACAAGAAAAAAAACAAAAAACAAGGCAGATTTAATTTTTATTTGCTCTCATTTATATCGAGTGATTTTCACTTGCTAAGCTTCCTTAAGCAGAAAACGTAAACAAGGGCACGTGACGTGTTTTCTCCACCCCCCTATAAAAATGCTCAACAATGTATTCTTAATTGCGAGTACATTTATATTAAAGGAATAAACACAAATACTCGTACAAGTATACACTTACAAGTATACCTATAGTACACACAAACTGGCAAACACACAAACAATGAAATTAATCTTAAAGCATACCCACCCTCTTCTTATTTATTGGATGATCGTGTATTTAAAACCTATTCATTTCTAGAGCACACTTTACTAACCTTCGGTGTTCACTATGTGTTGTTGTAGTTTGATTTTGTTTGCTGCTGTGTTTTTAACGTTTTAAAGCTTTGTTGTAATGGTCCGTAGTTGTAGTTGTTGAACTTATAGCATTAATCGCGTATACATTTTCAGGTATTTTTGCCACTGCCCCTATTACTCGAGTAGTTTTTTTCTATTTTATATATATATATTTATAATTTTTTTTCCTAGCAAAAGAGCTTAAGTACAATAATAACAAACATACAAAAACTTAACATCAAAAGAAACAATACATGTATAGAAATACACATTAATATATATTTATGCATTTATATATTTACATACATCCGTATATGCTCCCGTTGTTTACAGAGTCTCAGCTGTTGCAAGTGTAGAATCACAATTAAAATATCTACGCTGCAATGGCTTTAAATTGTAACAACACAACAATAGTAGTAATTAACACAAATGCGGCTCCGGTTGCAGTTGAAGAAAATGTAGCAGTCCATAACAAAGCAAAAGAATGCAAGAAATGTTTTAAAATTCTCACACACAAATACAATAATCACACACGAGCAACACTATATAGTCAGTGTTTACGGTAAAAATTAAATTTTCACTGTCAAGCATAGAATTTTAAACGACCTTGACTAACACGCGGAAGGATACTCTCTAATCTTTTCCCCTCTGTCAAAGCATACGAAAAGTGTTTGGCAAACACTTGAACCGGTAAAGGATGACATATCATACAAAGATCTCTTAAAAAAAAAAAAAGAAGGAATATCACCTTCAAGTCTAGCGCGCTTAAAAAACGTAATGATTTTCTTAAATATTTTTCATAAAACACTTAAATAAAAGAAGTTTTTTTTTTAATTTTATAATTTAATGTAGTAAAAAAAAAAAAAATTGTGGATTTTTTCTCTTAAACTTTCACTTTTCGTTTTACGCCTTATATTGCGCCGTTACTGTTTTGCCGTGCGTTATCCGTTTAAAAACGTAACCCGTAATCAGACTGAACATTTTTAACATTGATTTGTCTCAATTTAAACTCTGTGTACCGTATATAATTTATAGTCCACATACTCTGGTACCCTATCCACGTTAGTCACACTTTCATTCCACTTTTTCGAGGTGAGTTTGCGCAGTAGAATATAAAATTCCAAAATCGAAGCCAATCTTTTTCTGGAGTATAAATAATAAAATATTAGACAGTTTGTTAATAACTTTTCATAAACACCGTCATAAATGTGTGAATTATTTATTTAATTAATAATTAAATATTTATTTACTACATTTTTTTTTTATACTATAATTTTAAATTATTAATTATTAATAAATAATGTATTTATATAATATATGAAGCATATCATAAAAATAATCTTATTAATTAATTAATAATTGTTGAATATATTTTCAAAACTGTTTTTATGGTACGCTTATGTGCTCAACGATTTAAGTTTCATTTTGTCGTTTACGCTTGCATAATGCATGGGGGTTAACTCAGTCAGTGTTTAATAAGTTCTGAATTTCAAATTTAAATGAATAAAAGACTTTTAATCCGTTCTGAGCTCAATGTCGTAGACACAATTCAATATTTTATATTGGCAATGAAGAATAGTAGGAAACAAGAAAGCTTTATCGATCTAAAGTGAATTTTTCAAAGATTAATCTATTAATTATGATTCATTAAAAAGATTACAATTAAAAGAAAGAGGAAACTCTATTTTCTATTTATATAAATCGTACATTTTGGGATACCCTTTATATTGAATTCCTTTATATTATGCGGCTTGATCAAGCTTATTTGTGGTTTTGTTTTTCTGTCTGAAACCTTTCGTACAATCAAACAGATGTATTTGGTAAGGATCAAATCTTTTAGTATCTGCAACAAATTTGCTTGCGATATTTCATTGCAACATGGAGCACGGAGCCGTTCATTCGATATATTGATCGTATATCGCATTGTTATGAAATTCGCTTTTATAAGATACAGTCCGTATCACTGGATCGTGGATATTTTGATCAAGAGAAATACACTTCAAAGTTCTTTTATTTTACTACTTTGTCTTCCGCAACAGCAGGAGTATTTATTTACAATTATATTTCTTAACAGTAGAATTTTCACAATTTAATTTGGCCGTACTCTCAGCTCAAATGCTCTTGCCCGACTAACTCTCCTTTCCACAAATATTCTAATTATATACATTTTTACAAGCATGTTACTATACCTAAATTTATGATTTTATTTCCAGTCCCAGCCTTCTTTTCCTCTAATCGTCTTCATCGGCGTGCACCTGCATGACGAGCCTGCGAATATGTACTTAGCTTTTACCTGTTTGCTTTTCCGCTAATCGTTTTCATCGGCCTGTAGCTTCATGAGGCGCCTGCAAATGCTCATTTGGTTTTTCCTTCTTTAGGGAATTTATTATTACGAAAATTACTTAGCTGACATTAACTGAATTTGGGATTTTCGTAACAGTATTATATAAATGACATCGTAGAATGTATAATGTATATATTGAAGGTACCCGTACGTAAGCAATAGTTTGCAAACATTTTTGTTTCGTTCTCAGCTCTATACCGATCGTTGAAGATCAAGCACGTATTCGTTTTACAACGTCCGGTGAATCAATGTTTGCTGAAAATAATTTAAAAAGCACAGTCTTTACGTTTCTTTCAAAGAATCATATTTATTATTGCATCCTTTTTTTTTCCATTGAAGAAAATTTGCTATATTTATGGAGATGCTGGCGATTAGGGTCTTCATGATAAGCCTTGAGATGGACGACCAGCTCAGTTTTGGTCAGTCAAGAATCTTGGATCCGCATGGTCAACTGGTTGAAGTACGACAAGGGTCATCGATGATATGAAAGCTAAAAAAGGACAAAACGATATGAATCAATCTTAGTGTTTAGTAAACTCGTCTTCTCTTTTGCTTTTATAATAGAGTAAAAATTTGATTTACGACTCTATAAGGACCGCGCCAAAATTTCATTATTAAAAACAATTAAGAAATATAAATATTGTTCTAGGTTCTCAATAATGATGTACGAAAGATTGTTGTCGGATCAAAGTTTTGAAACCGTACTCTTAGATAATACATTCATTTACAACGGAAGCTAAATGATCTTCTTTACATTTAAAAAATAATTTTTTTGTATTATTATTAATATTATTATTAATTTCGCCAGAGAAATAAATTCTAAGACTAAACTCTTAAAAGCACTAGCATCTAAGGCTATCGGCCTAAAAATTAATTTTTTTGTAAATTTCATTTTTTCATATAAAAAATATTTGCGATTAAATATCAATACAAATATTTGGCGACCATGCGAAATGCTCTCATTCACATGAAATATTGGCAATTTGTTAAATATTCGTTACACAAGTTCAATATCACGTTGCAAATGCACTTTGCACCTTGCTTGTTGTTCTCTCTTGATATGTTACGAGAAGAGTGGAAATGGTAAAGAAAAATTATATGGAAGGAGGCGAACAATATACAACTGTTTGATCTTTATATAAATTAATGATAAAATGATTATATATTTTACCTGTATATGATATTTATAAAATAAGTTTGGATTACTCTCTGCATTTCTTGCGATTACAGTTATGAAATATATATTTGGCATTATGTGCGGCAAACGCATATAAAAAGTTTTGTTGAAATAAAATCAAATTTAAGCAAGAAAATAATATTGACACTCTGCGTACCTCGAATGATTGACTTTTACAACCTACATCACTTTAGATACAAGGGCACTTTGAGTTCGTGCGGATGTATACAACATCTACAGAGGCTTGAGATAAAGCGAACTCCTATTATACCGATCGATTCAACTACGCTTCTCTTTCTGTCCGTTCGTCTACCTCAGTGATTACTTGCCGTGTCCCTTACAGGTCGCCAATTTTTGAGATATTTTCATAAAATTTGATACACCGAGTTTTGGGCCATAAACGAAGAATTTTGGAAATGATTCGGATCGAACAACTTTTTCGACCACTTCTCATAGAAAGCCTTATTTCGAAATGTCGTTATGTGATTAATTGCATTCAGTGATGTGCTGTAGAGAATTTAAGAAAAAAAAAGCTCTTAATAAAAGCAATATATAAAATTTCAAATAATAAAATTTCTTAGCAAAAGCAATAATTTGATTAACCATTGCTCTCTTCTCGATCGTTTAGTAAAATTTTCAATTAATTTTGTAAAGCTCTTTCTGCAATTAACTGCAAGTGTTGCATTTTTTTTAAATTTCATAAAAAAATAATTTTTTTTTTATATATTCAGTCTATTCATAAATAATCTAAAAAAAAATTTTTAAATCTATGTCTGTATAACTATTTTTCTCTTTTTTTTGCTTTCTCGTTCTAATGATTTACATCTGATGTCCCCAATGGGTGCGCAATCACTCTGGCACTCCATCACACACACGTAAACATATCCACAGCAGCTTACGTAAGTGTATGTGCGGTGAATGTGCAGATTGCGAAGGTTTCCGCTATAATTTATATGAATTTTTTTTATTACATAACTTAGTTTTAGCAAAAAAAAGGATTTAAAATACTAAACCTTCCTTTTTTTTCTGCTCAATCATCAACTATTTGTTACATGTGTAATTGTATAGACAACACATAACATACGTAGATACCGGCATTTTTGCGCACACATTATACAGAAACTTGGATAGGTGTGGAAATTCCAGGATAAATTATTTATAACGAATGGTCATTGACTTTGATGTCTCTTCTGGTATATTAAAGTAAAAATTGAATGGAAAACTGGATAAAGTGTGGCAACTGAAACAACTTGGCGTAAAGTCAAAAAAAAGAAAAGTTAAATAAAAAATAAATTTAAATTTTTACCTATTTTTGTCATCTTTAATTTTGAGTTAAAGTAACTTCGAATTATGTTTATCGAATGCACTCCATTTTTAAAATTAATCAAATAAACCAATTCACATAATGTAGGGGATGCCGAACAGTTGTTTTATATAAACTTTTATGCTTTACAGAATGCGGCCTGACGATGGACCAAACCCATGACGAAAAGACTGTATTGCCTAGGAAATATATAATGTGTTTGAGAAGGGATTAAATTAGCTAGAAAAAAATAAGTAAAAGCGTCGTAGAGGTTCAAGGCCTTCCATTAGGTACCCTACACCACTTAGCATAATGCAGTCTTATTTATTCAAAAATTCTCATGTGTGCTATTTTCACGAAGATACCCAAAATTAACATGGTCCAAAATCCAATATTTTCCAATTGCTTGCATCAAAACAAAGCACAAATTAAATTGTCGCCATAGAAGATCTTGCCTTCATGAGAGCATCTAAATATGGTGCGGTCTAAAAACTGGACCTATTGATCAGAATTTGATAATGCCGTAACATTAAGACAGTGTATGAAGAAAGCTAATTTTTTATGAAGAGTTTAGAATGCCTAAAAACGAGCCTGGAAACACAATTACTTGGCTATAAAAACCGCTGGCTTGGCTAGGAGCAGACCACTTAAATGTGGATTAGCTTAACTTGGACAAAGTTGAAAGGATTTAGCGGCACTTATATGTTAGCTAGTAAGGAAATAAGTCGTTTAAAAGGAAACTAGGCTACCTTCGCACACGCCTGTATCCTCACTAAAGGACTGCTATCTG